TCAGCTCCCACTGTGACTGTCACAGCTGTCTGTGCCTGCTATCACTCCATGGGAAGGAAGCCTTTATGCTCACCAAGCCTGGAGTTGACTTTCCTAGTGAAAGCCTCCATGGTGCTGGCTCCACCCTCTGCAAAGTGGCTGTGCCTGTGATGTTAGCGCTACCTTCTCAGTTGGCTCCGCCCCTGGCACTAGCTCCTCCCTCCCAGATAGCTCCACCCTCTGAGATGGTGCTGCCCCAGGGTGCTAGTTCCACCCCTGCGAGACTGCTCAGCCCCCCTGGCAGTCCATGGCTGGCAAGCAGCCACAGTGGGGGCTCCATACAGGAAGCCAGCCCTTTCCAGGCTCATGGCATCACTGTCTGCCATGCCTTCCCCTGTTCATCCGTCCAGGGAGTTTGCATGTCCTTCATCTTAGAGAGGTGGCCCATCTCCTCTTCCCTGACTTCTCCAACAGAATCCCTGTGTCTCTGCTGCATCCAAACCTTGCTTTCTTTTGCTTTTGCTTTTTTGAGTCAGTGCCTTGCTATGCAGTCCAGGCTGGCCTTATGGCAATCCTCCTGCCTCAGCCTGCCAGCCTCTCAGGTGCTGGGGTTTCAGGCGTGTGCCACCACACGAAGATGGACATCATTCTCTAATACCTCACCAGCTGGAGATCACCTACACAGATGCTGTTTACCCCGGCGAGCTACACTCTACAGCCTCCCTTCCACATTTCCAGGTGTGTACTGCAAAACATGATTCTGTGCCCATGTGGCCCTTTGAGAGCTCACTGGTACAAGATAGTAAATGGTCTGCCATGGAGTCAAGGCCAGAAATCAAATCCATGTAGCCCCTGAATTGCAAAGCGCCTTTCCCAAAGCCACTACGATGCCCGCAGACTGACTTCCTGCCACAGGAACCGCGGCCCTGAGGTCTGGCACGCTCGGGCTGAGCTCACCTAGTGATGAGACTTGGGGAATGCAGTTTCCTGCAGCAAGCAGCCGGCCGGCGTGTGGTCTGGGCCCCTGCCCCGTCTGCCTGGAGTGCCATCTGAGGGCATGTGGCCATGGACCCTCCCTGTCTGGTTTGCAAGGCTGTGCAAGGTTCCACCTAGGGATCCCAGAGGCTCCAACTGCCAGCTCCAGGCGGGCCAGGCTGACCTCTGTCTCGGAGAGCAGCCTGGACACTGCCAGGTGCCAGTGTGGTCCTGACCTTGAGCCCACATCCATGTTGTGTGGCTCCTCCCGGGAACACAGAGCAAAGCGGCTTCCACATCACCGTGCCTCAAGTCACGGTCTTGAACGGGCCCTTCCCTTCCTTGGGTGCTTCCTGCAAGTGTGTGGACACACAGACACAGCCACAATGCAGGCCACAGCTCTTCCTCAGAAGGAAGGTGCTAAAACAGGTGGAGGGGCCGATCTCTGCTTATCCACGGTTCTAACTGGTTTTGGTATGTTCACGCGATGGTCATAAAGGGGGCGTTCAGCACCCTGACAGCAAGACAGGATGTGCAATGCGGGGCAGAGATGTAAAAGGACACAAAGCCACACAGTCCTCGGGGGACAGGGTTGGCTCAGCCAGACCTGAGGCAAGGCATGCCGCTCAAACCTGGCACTCAGTGTCCTCATCCAAGCACAGCAAACGGAAAGGGTCATCTGGGGTTGGACAGACATCAGTCCTGGGTTTCACTCCCATGTCTGCTCGTGGGGGCCTCCCGGCCGCACCATGCAGCACAGGGACAGGATCACGAGGAACTCGAGTCCACACTGCTCAGAGCACAGCTGGCAGCCTCCTCTGGGCCTCTGGAGCCGCACAAGGCTCCTGCACAGGCACGTCTCCAGACCCTGCCCTGAGCACACTCCGCCTCTGATCTGCCCTGCACAGCAACTGCAGCGCCCACACAGACCCCCATCCAGCCACTCACTCTCTGGCCTGGCCCTCTGCGGACAGTGCCCACCCTCCTGTCACCTTCATAGCTCACAGTGACTGTCCCCAGAGCACGCGTGACCAGAGCCTGTCAGTCTGGACCACAGCGGTGAGTGCTTAGCATGGGGCTCCCCATGCCCCAGTGCCCGAACCTCAAGGTCCATGCATCTTCCCGTGGCCAGGGCAGCCTCTCCGCTCCCTGCCCAGCACCCACAGAGCTACCTCACACAGAAGACCCCAAACCCAGCTAAGGTTCCGGCTCGGTGTGCTGTGGTGTGGCCCTGGCAGTCTGCATTCACCTCACTCTCCTGTCTGAAAACAGACCCACGGAGCTCAGCTCTGTGGCTGCTTAGACCAAGCTGAGAGAGGACGCGCACCTCAGCGTGACAGCCACTTGTCAGTAACACATCTGCATCCACACCCTTGATCGGCCACACTGGGGCACACGGGAGAGACGGGGAACGGCTGCATCTGCCTCCAGACCCCCGCCATGTGCAGTTGGCAGAACCGCACTCGGCCCTGATTACTCGTCCCCTGGCTTCCAAGGTCATGAAGCACTTGCCACTACGATGACCCTGTGTGTGAGGGACGGAGCACACGGTGGAAGATGAAGCAAAATGCAGCTCTAATGTTGTGAAACCACCATGTTGACATGCAGCCCCATGAACAACGCTTCGCTCTACGACTCAGGCCCATACATGGCTCTGTCACCCTCAGTGCATGTAGCCAGTGACAAAGAGGATCTTCAAAGACGTCGCCAGAACACATGCACTTCCCAGAGACTGAGCTCAGGCGCTGCATGAGGAGTGATTGCGTACAGCAGAAGTCCATGAGACTTGAGCACTCCTGACTGCCTCTGCTTTCTTAGGAAGTGAGATCTTTCAGCACAAAGCCCAACTCAGAGGAAAGCCACTATCACCCAGAAGGGCTGGGAGGGGTGCACCTGTCATGCAGGTGCTGCAATGCTTCCTGGACACACAGCGTTACTGAGGATGGGTTACACTGCCTGGCTGGGAAGACACGAGCCAGGTTGTGCGGGTGCAGCACAGTACAGCACCCCCCAGGCACCGGAGCCCGGACGGGCCTGGGCTCCACCACCACCTGCCCTACAATTCACTCGCAGCCACAGGAGAGGGAGCAGTTTCACAGCCACTGTTTCCCCACAAGGGAGCCCCAGGCCGCTGTGCTGACCCATGGGCCTATCTGCAAGTCCCAGGCAACTCCACGGTGCAGGTGACCGAAATCACAACCTGGATGAGACGTACGCCTGTCGACGGGCGGAGCACAGCTCAGGGGCGGTGGCCCTGAGACCACAGGCTCCGAGTGCGAGTGAGCACCCAAGCCTTCATGGACACCACCACTAAGGAAATGAGTCCTCAGGCCTCAGGCCCCGCCTCAGTCACGGTCCTGACGGGCACACACCATGTTTCTTGTTTAGTTCTGAAAATCCAGATTTGAGGAAGGTGCCAGAGCTTGCTTATGCGGCCATGGGTGAATCCCCTTCTAATTATAAGGAGGCATTTAAAAAGGAGCTTGCTGGGCTGGGGATTTAGCTCAGTGGCTCCGCCGCCTGCCTTGAAAGCACAAGGTCCCAAGTTCAATCCCCGGTACCAAAAAAAAAAAATTATTGTTAAAAGCATACTAATGCAAACCTTTCTTTCTGCATGAACACTCCTTTTGGAAGGGATCACGGTTCTGCAGTGGAAATTACGTCGGGGGGGCGCTCCGACTGATCTCTCCTCTTTAAGAAGGGCAGGCGTCATCAGAGGGCCTCCTCTGGGCTCCTGTGCACCTGTGTTCCTAGGGGAGATGCCCAGATGGAGCGCCTCCTCCTGCACCTCCTTAGCTGCCCTAGGCTGCCACAGCACACTGCTGCGGTTCTCCGTGACTGCTCTACACCTGCACACTGAGGAAATGTAGGCCTCCCTGCACACCTGCACAGGACACCAGCATTCACAGCAGGCAGGTGCTGGCTGCCTGGTGTGGACGCCTGGGAGATGGAGCCTGTGCTATGCTCCTTCCTGGAGCTCCCCGGAAGCTCTGAGACACAGCGCGGGCCAGCCTAGCCAGGGTGGGGAGCTGCCTAACACATTCTTGAAGCAGTGATGACTTCCTGGGAGGGTGGTGTGGGTCCCCTGGGGTCCTGGGCTCAGTGCATCCTGTGCGCCCTCTAGTGGCGGCGTCTGAACCGAGAAGCGTCTCACTCTGTCCCACTGTCCCCCAGAGAGAAGGATCCACATGGTAACTGCACCTGTCCCCTGCCTTGGGCTTAGTGGAGGTCAGTTAGCAAAATCGTCACAGTACACCTTCTGAAAACACAGACCCAACCCACGGATTGCTCAGGTTCTCACCCACCGCCTTTCAGAGCTGCAAGTGCCCTCAGTTGCCAACCGCAGATCTGACCCTCACGGCCTCCTCCTGCTCCACATCCCAGCTCCAGAAGTCTGTCAGTCACAGTAACACTCGCTGCTGCCTGGACTGCAGCTGCCACCCACACAGACTGCACCCACAGCCCCGAAGAGCACACCCCCAGCAGCCACCGTACCACCCTCAAAAGCTGCGCTCCCAACAACCACTCCCCCTGCCCCAAACAGCTGCAACCCCCACTCCAGAGACACCCCACCTCCCGGCCCCAACCCAAGCCCGTCACCCACACCTTGGCAAATGGACTCAGCACGTGCTTGCTGAACTGATCAATGGCTAATTCACAAACATGCGAAATTTGTTCACGTGAGACTCAGGGAAACCGTGCCATTTCCCTCCTCTATGCATACCTTTTCTGAGGAATAGTTCACTTAAAAGAAACAAACAAAATCCTAAGCACAAAGAGGCAGTTATTGAAGATGCTACAAAACAGTGGGGTAAATTACTTCTAACTTCTCAAATAAGATCCTTATTTGGTGAACCTTTATGCCCACAATGCAAAGTAATTATACAATTTACAGAATGAGCACGCATAAACTCAAAAGGCATCAGAATAGATTTGTTGAAAATAAGTTATGATATCATGCTAATCTTGTGAAGCATAGAATAATGAGAAGTGACTACATAACATTCAATATTGTTTTACTTGAATAAAAAATGAGTCAGACCCAATGTTTCATATATGTTTAATTTCACTTTTCAGTACTTTCCATTCAAAATGACAAAATAAATGTCTAAACAATAGTAAACTTATTATTGTGAATTTAGTCAGTTTTCAGATATGGAGATTATTGCAGTCACAAGAAAATCTTCATGTAAAATGATCTGCAAAGACAAAGAAAAAATTATTAGAAAAACTCCCAGGCTGGCCAATGGTTCGGAGGACAGGTCAGGGTGCACTTACACCAGCCATGGTGATGTCCTTGAGGGCACAGCCCAGCAACAGGTGCTGAATCTGCCAAACCAAACAGAAGAATGTGAGCTGTAAATCAGATGCTAATGTCCTGGCCATCAGAACCACTCGGAGAAGTGCAAACAGCATCACAGTCTAGGCTCCTGGCTGTAGGCCTGGTGCGGACGGCAATGGCAGGAGAGTCGAGAGCTCTGTGTGACATGTGGACCCCTCCACACTGACCCACAGCTGCACGGCTTAGGGTCGGCTTCACCTCAGGCATTCACAAAGCACTGGGAGAATACAGATTTGTCTCCCATACCTGGCTTATTTGAGGTGAGGCCAGCTGCTGGGATATGTGCAGGGACCAGGAAAACACAGTGTGGCCTGGCCAACCTAAGGCTGCTGACTGACCTGACATGGTGTGACATGGCTCTGACTGACCCAACACGCCCTGACCAACCCAATGTGGCCCAAATGACCTGATGTGGCCCTGAATGACCTTGTGAGGTCCCGAGTGAACCGATGTGGCCCTGACTGACTGAGAGGGCCTGATCAACTCAATATCACCTGACACAACCCCGACTGACAAGACGTGGCCTTAACCTGACATGGCCCTGACTGACCTGACATGGCTCTGACTGACCAACAAGGCTCACCTGACCTAACATGGCCAGACAGGGCCCTGACTGACCTGACATGACCCAGCTGACCTGAAGGGCCTAGATGATCCAACACACAGGCCCTGACTGACCTAAGGAGGCCCCGACTGGCCAACAAGGCCCAACTGACCTGACGTGACCCTGGCTGACCCAACACGGCATGGCTGACCCAAGGTGGCCCTGACTGTCCCATGCTCCCTGTGAGCATGCCCCTGGATGTGCCTCTCACTCCGACATCTGCCATAGCTCCTGAACGCCAGGTCCCCAGGAGGTCAGCACTATGGTCCCCAGGAACCCCTCCCTCCACAGGAGCCCTGAAGAGCTCTCCTGCAGCCTCTCACTGCACACGCAGCTTTTCTCCACGGTGCTGAGGCTGCCGCCAGGGCCTTAGTGGTATACTGAGAAACCACGAGCTGCTCCCCAACCCCAAGTTCCTGCCACAGCACCCCAACCAGGCCTGCCTTGTAGTTATTTCCCCTTCTCTCTACCAATATGAAACAAAACACGACACATTCCAGGTCTATGCAGTCGCTCTCCACCTTCTCCTGGCTTATCAATCACCTGAAATCAGACTGCAGTCGCTCAGCTGTCATGACAGCCCTTTCGTGTGCCCTCCCTGTGTTCACTGGCACCACCAGCGCTCTCTGGACAGCCCTTCCCAGCTAGACCCCAACCCCCCCCCCGCCCTGCCATCTCAGGCCTGGCACACAGGGTGCACCTTGTGAGCAGACTCGAGGCAAAGGGAGAGCATCAGAGATGACCCTGGGCATGGTGTTGGTCATCAGCACTTTGGCAGCACAGGCAGCTGGGCATGGACATTGTGTAGAGCTGGGGCACGCACAGGGGACCAACAGCAGAGACAGGGCGAGAGAGGCTTAGGTCGTAATGTGACAGTGTGACACACATGCGTGTATGACACGTGTGCGCATGACAGACAGTGCCACACACCTGGGAAGAACCAATGCCTTGCAGGAGGAGGTGGAAACTATGCTGCACACAGCGATGCAGGCTGCCTGCGGCCACTTGGCAGTCACCCCAGGACTGGCCCTGCCTGCCAGTATCAATGACCAAGCTCAGCTGGAGCAGGATCGGTCTGGACTCCTGAAGACAGTGACTCAAGATCCCCTTGCCACCCCTCACACGCACAGTGTCTTGCAAAGCTGCTCTCTAGTGGCCACATCGTCTTGCTCTGAGGGACAGTCTGGTGACCTGCACCACCTCCCGAGAGCATCTGTAAGTTCCTTTTGTTTATTTGAGACAGGATCTTGTTCTGTTGCCCATGCTTGGAACTCCTGAGCTGTAGTGATCCTCCTGCCTCAGCCTCCCCAGTAGTTACAAGTGCAGGGGCATATCACAGACACTGGCTGTGTCTGTGGGTTCTCCATGAGCAAACAGAGCAGCCCACAGAGTTGTCCCTCCTCCCTAGTGAGGTTCAAGTGGGCTGCTGGCATCCCAGCTCTGCATCTACCCCTCCCCAGATCTCGTATGAGACAGAAATGCTGCTCGAAGGGAGAGGAGGTCCCTTGAGGCCCCCGTGCCACAGAGCAAGAAAATGAGGCGGGGCTGTGCCTCACTCAGGCCATGAAGGGCCCAGCAGCCTCCTGTGGGCGTCACACACAGGCCTGCAGTGCTTGCTCACAGGAGGAGGCCCAAACCCCTGACCCTGGCTGCAGCACACAGCAGCTTGGCAGAGGCACGAAGGACAGAGGCAGCCAGGGACCCTGGGGTGGGGAGGTCAGGCGCTGGCCCATGACCATCCCCAAAGATTGTGCAGGGTGCTGGAGAGAATCTCCTCCCAAAACTGTATTTAAAGACAGCACCTGCAGATGGAAAGGCTGAGAACTGCCTGGAAATAGCAGAAGGAGCAGACACTGGAAGGGGACTGTCGTGTCTCGCCACCGAGTGACAGGAGCCAGGCCTTGAGGAGCGGACCATGAAGATGGCAGGAGCAAGCTAACAGGAGACACACGTGGTGGGTCCAGGCAGCCAGCAGTGCTGTGGCCCCATCAGCTATCTGCAGGAAGGGACCAGCCTCCCATCCATGCATTACCCGGGACAGGCTCACGAGGAGTCCTCATTTCAGGTCTGAGCTCAGTAGTTCTCAGAAAGCCACTCCGCTGGGCTTAAAACATAGTTTCCTCCCTACGTGTTCCCAGACAGCTCTCAGAGCCTCGGGTGGGTGGGCAGGGGTACCTCTACCTGAGCCACCAAAAAACTGGATACTCCTTGCATGTTAAAATGTGTAGGTCTGGGTTTACAAGGCCTCTCCCCTGTGCTCACGGGAGGCAGAACCCTGTGCAACCCCGTACCGCAGTCTGGCCTGGGATTCTTTGCCCTTGGCTCCGAGCGTCTCCCCAGGATAGAGCAGTTCTGCTGGCAACACCATGCTGTCTGGAAATCTGAAGTGAGCACTGTGCTGCTGCCCAGCAGCCACTGTCCCGACCACGGGGCCACATCAGCACCTGGCACTTGAGCTGCAGAGACTGTGGGCCACTCCCTCTCCATGGATCAGCATAGATCAGCTCACATGAGGCCCCTAGGGTGGTGGTGAAGGGTGTTCAGATCCCCTGAGGTTTCTGGAGTTTGCCCACAACCAGGGAAGGCTGTCTGCTTCAGTATGTGGTTCTCCCGTGGTGGTGGCAGGGTGGCTCTGCCCTCAGGAGCCCTGGCCCATGATCTGTCCACCTAACCACTGCCTGTTCTCACGGCGGGCACTGTCACAACAGAGGTGCCCCCGGGGTGCCAGGGAAGGTGACACCCAGGGAAGCCCCTCACTGAGCATGAGAGCCACGCAGGCTCCAGCCCACAGTGGGCCCTCAGACAGATAGTGCACGGGGCATGTGGGGTCCCCGCCTCACCACAGGGAAACATCTGAAAATCACAGGAGCGTTCGTCTGTGGCTCTGTAGCTGAGATCTTACGTGTTTGGAGAATTATCTCTGGCTTCTTCCCTCTTCCCCAGGCCTCTACCTCCTGAGCCTCAGGCAGCCAAGACAGGATTCCTTTGCCACAATGTGCGAGTCCAGTCAGAGGAATCCACACCAGCTCCTCCAGGGGTTGCCCTGAGCACAGCACAGCTACTCTGCCCAGCCAGCAAGTCAGGGCTAACAGGGCCACAGCTCCAGTGGCTCCCGCTACCCTCACCGAGTGAGCCTACCTCAGGGAAGGAAGGAAGTCGGTCTCCTCTGGACATTTCCCAGAGTACACGGGTTTTCTGGCCAGCATCTTATGATCTTTACATCCTGGAAAAACGAGCAGGTCCTGACATCAGGATCTGCCTTTGCTTCCTCTGTCACCTCCAGATACTCAGGATATTCCCTAGAACTCTCAATTCCCAGGAATTCGCTGAAGTTGATACTTACTGCTCTGGACACATGGGGAAATCTGGAGGACAACACTCCAGGCCAAGCCAGGGCTGTGGTTTTCAATCCTAGATCTGACCTTGCAGGGCGCCCTCTGGGACATCATTTAGATCTCCTCCACTCAGTTTCTCCATCTCTGAATCATGCTCACTGCTTTGCCTAACTGCAGCAGGATGTGGGTTCTTGGCTCTCAAAGACCCTGAAAGTAAATTGCCAAGGCTGGGCTGGGCTGGAACTTGCAACCCTTCTGCCTCAGTCTCTCAGGATGCTGGGATTACAGGCATGGACAACCAAGCCTGGCTTAATAAAAAGTAGAAAGCGCTGGGGATATAGATCAGTGTGAAGACCCGAGGTAAATTCCCGAGTACCACAAAAAAGAAAAGAAACGACGGGCACCAGGCGGAGGAGGGCGTGGTTGGGCCTGGCTGGCTGAGCCCAGCCGCTCAGCTGCTCAGCCCTGATCCTCACTCCCGGTGTGCAGCTGCTGTGCGTCTGGCCCCGGGTGTGTGCTGGCCCACATGGGCTGGGTCAGCACCGTCAGCTGCAGTGTCTGACTGCGCTCCATGAGTGAGATCACACCCGGGCTGGTCAGCTCTGTCACAGCAGATGCCTGCTGTCCTAAGGGCACTGTTGAGAGCAGCCCTGCCACTCCCAGCACACCTGCCGCAGTCAGCAGCCTTGGGGCTGGCATGGGTCGGTGTGATGTCAGGCGATGTCACATGTGGAACTTCCCGGAGACTGAGGCTGAAAGCGTCACCTCCCACCACACACAGGGACCACATCACACAGACCGTATCTGCGTCTCTGAGGCATCAGGGCTCACCGGGTCGAGGCACACGGTGGCCCTGCGGGCTAGGCTCCTTCCATGCCTGGCCCTGGTGCTTGAGACCCAGGAGGCAGGTAACTTCCTGCTCCCAAACCAGGTGTCAACTGGGCTCAAGAGATGGAAAGAGGCAGCTGCACTGCAGAGCTTCAGTACTGGATGGTTCATGTTTTACCTGGAAATGATGTGTTTGCTTTATAAAAAGGATTCTGTAGTCATCAGGACTCAACATGGGCACTCACTTAAACTGTTTTTTTTTTTTTTTTTGGTACCGAGGATTGAACTCGGGTCCTTGCGCTTGTGCAGCCGGCAGTGAAACCACTGAGCTAAATCCCCAGCCCTGCATCTCTTAACTGTTGAAAAATAAAACGTCACTGAACAAAAGTTCACAGAGTGACTCATGGCTCAGCTGGGCATCTTTGCCCCTTGCTACACTCATAAGCCTCTTTTTGACCCTGCTGGGTAGCTGCACCCTCAGCCCTGGCTCTCTCAGCTTAGCACCTTGGGACCAGCCACTTGTCCTGTCCTCAGGCAGCACAGAAGACACTGGCAGAGAGGACCAGACTCCAACGCAACTTGAACTCCACTTGGCTCCGTGAGTGCACTCACACCAAAGCAAGCTGTGGTGGACTCAGATTCCAATGTGGAACAGGCCACTGCCCCCACAGACATGACTCGTCCACGGCTGGCCCGAGTAACTCACCTGTGAACCTGGACACGCCTTCCCCACTGGACAGGCCGGGAGAGCCTCCCCATCCCAGTCCATGAGGAGGAGGTGAGGCTCCCCTCAGACAGGGCCTCTCTTCCTGTCTCCCAGGATGCGCTGGCTGTGAGGCACAGCCACAGCAAAGGCTCTGCGTGGTCGAGAGACTGTGGCCTGGGTTCTCCGCTGGGTGCGATGATCTCCGGACAAACACACAGTGGAGACACCAAGGGTGGGCGGAGAGCTGCATCCCAGCCACCTGTATGCAGGTGTGAAGGGCAACATGTGGCACGTGCCTGGCCCAGCAGAGGCCAAGGACACCGGGTGACAGGAGCAAGCATATGGGCATGAGGGCACGGGGCATGCAGGGACACTCGTGTGGGGACTGACCTTGTCCGTATGTCCTGGAGTGACAGGTGGGTGGCAGACAGGTGGCCCGGGCAGTGTGACCTCTCAGCTCAGCGTCTGGCTGGTCCTCCAGCTGGGCCCCAGCCAGTGAACGTGCAGGTCCCAGGCAAGGGGGAGAAAGGAAACCACACAAACAGGGCACCAGACAAGGTTTCAGAGATGCAAAGCAGAAGCCCTAACAGTGGTGACTGCTCAGTTAGTGACAGTGAATGTGTGTGCTCCGCAGTAAGAGAGCACTTCCATTTGACCGAGAGCGTGACCGAGAATGAAGTGACCAGTTACATGTGAGACCCAAGGACTCTGTTCAGACAGTGTGCGTCCCTTGGCTTAGGAGGGCTCTCCTGGAGTAGGAGGACTAACTGATTCCTGCCAGAGCAGCATGCTTCAGCCCATATAGCCCAGTGGCCAGCGCTGGGGTACCACGGCCAACCTCAGTGGGTGCTGGCTGCCTGACCACGGTACACACGGCTCATGGGGTGAGTGTCCAGTGGGTCCGTGTGTGGAGGACGCCCTGACTCACTGCACAGCCCTGGCTCAGGGTGGTTTCTTGTGCCTCCTGTCTGTAGCCCCAGCTGTGTGGCAGCAACAGACACATCTGATCCTCAGCCAGGACCCGTGAGCTCCTTCTATGAAGGGCCCGGCCACAGACACCACAGGCTCTGGCCTTGCACGTCCTCTGTCCCCACTCCTGCTGGGTGGACTGCACAGAAAAACAGGGTGGCGGCCGGGAAACCTCTGTCCCCAGGCAGAGGACACCATCGTGGCCCCAGGGCCCGAGGACTGGAGCTGGTGAGGGGTGTCAGGAAGAGTCTGCCCGGCCCACGTCCATGGCCTGGGGCCTGGGAAGCTGGTCGGCACCTGTGCCGCTCCCGGGGTACGGCCGGAGTCACCCCGGCCCGGCGCTGGGCCCTGCAGAGTAATGCCATCCACCCACCTTCTGGGCGAAGGTTTCGGTCGCCTGGTCAGCCCCACGGCACGCTCTCGAGCAGCGTCCCCTGGAGCCACGTTACACCCTGTCCCCCATGCAAAGCCCACCCTCCCCTGCAGCACCCGCGGGACTCCTTTTTGACCAGGTCTGGCCCTTGTCTGCACTGCAGGCCCACGTCTCCTCGTCCCTCTTTCTCTGCTCACGCGGCTTTTTCTCAACAGCTACAAGACCTCTGGCCCAATGTGCTACTGCAGCCGGTGCACAGTCAGGGATTCCTGAAGGCTTCCTAGCTTCCTCATCACCGTGGTTCAGCTCAAATATTCAAAGTAGAACCCCTTCATCCTGTGCCTACCTGTGGTCAAAGTTTAATTTACAAATTAGGCACAAGAGGAGATGAACAGTAACATAAGCTAGAACAACTCTGACCATGTTGTGATAAAGCTGTTACAATACCATATTTGCATTTTGCTATGCTTGATGATAAAACCCTATGATGCTGACTGACATTATGACAACTGAGTACACTGCAGCACCAAGGGGCTTCGATGTGTGAGACAATGACAGAGCAGTTGTGCACTTGCCGGGCAGGCAGGCTTGACCCTGAGAAAGTGGGACAAGTCGGCCCAGGGAGACCCCCAGCACAGGCCCGGAGTCCTGCCCCAGCCTCCCGCTCCTGAGCACAGTGGATCACACTGAACACGATGCTCCCGTCGAAACCCACGCTGCATGCGCTTGGTGAGCTCCAGCTCCCACTTCAGGCCACCAGAACAAACGATCCCCACATGCAGACGGGGCTGCAGGGAAGTGTCGCTCTGGCTTGTCAGATGCGTGAAGAGAGAAAACGAAGTCAAAACAGCCATGTGCTGTCGAAGCTGCTCTGAAGGCCCCTCTGTGCTTGCCTGGGACAGCAGCTCTCTGGAAGCCGAGCTGGCCCCATGGTTCCAGCGCAGGTGCCTCAAAGTGAAAGGGTCAGCACTCTAGGTTTCTATGTAATATCATAAAAGCCATGGGCTGGAAATAGCCGAGGTATTAACTCTGTCTTGACACACACCAGTTGCTTGCTTTGTGCCAGGCTTCATTGTGGGAATTTTTTTAAATGATATGAAATAAGGAGATCGTTGGTACTCAAAGATTTGTAATTCGGGGACAGAGCACGCTAAAGTGCAAAAATAATTTCAGTAAGACATGGAGACAAAAGCACCAGTAAGAAAACGTGCATTGTTTGTGGTACCGTGTGATGGAATGTGATGCAGCCTCTGACTTCATCTTCCCCGCCCACCCAGCCACCACGCTGGGGACCCTTGTCATGGGGAGGTCACAGGGCGAACACCAAGGCACCATGGGGAGCCCAGGGGGAGTCAGGGGCTGGTGGCCAGTTTCTGTAACCACACACCAGCCGTGCCCTGCTGACCCCACAGAGCAGCGAGCTACTGCTGGGCAGAGGAGACCCTGACAGTGGACACACCAGCCACAGAAGTCACTCCACAGGGAAGTGCAGGCAGAGGGGTGGTCGCAGTCGCAGATGGCACTCGGACAGACCACGTGAAAGCCATGCCCCTGCCGACTCATGGATGAGGACGTGGGCAGAGGGTGCGCTGGCCATGGATGGTCCTGAGACAGGGCCGTCAACTCCCAGGCCCCACTGAACTGGGGGCCACAGATGCCCACTGAGGGTGCAGCCACATCTGTGAGGGAGGAGTCACACGTTGGCAAGAAGACATGAAGAAGACACGCCCTCAGCCTCCACACACTAGGGCCAACAGAGGGGGCCGGAGCTGAGTTCTGGGGAGCAGCTGGCTGGGGACTCCCGCCAGGCCTAGGAGCAGCGCTGGGGAAGTGGCAGCCAACTCAGGAGCTGGGATGGGTCCCACTCTGACATGGATGGCAGGGAGGAGACACCTCTCATGCTCAGGGACCCACAGGGCCACACCGTACATCACTGTGGAGCACCGGAGGTATCCACATGACCAGGCCATGGCCAGGGGCCACTGTCACAGGCTGTGGAACACACCTTACTTCAGTCACGCCTGTCCTCACTCTGCAGGTGTGGGAGTGTGGGTCTCCACGCACCCTGCCCTGGCACATGGGAAAGGGGGAGCCCCATCAGGACCACTGCCAAGCTCCAGGTGCCTGCCTCTCCTCCTCCACCCTCCCTGCCCAGCAGCCTCTGTGCCCCTCAGTCCTGGGACCTCAGCTCCACGATGGCTGCCCTTCCTGCCGGCGATGCCACCCCCACCAGTGCACCCAGGCTCCTTGTCCCACGCCACACCGGCCTCAGCTGCCTCCCCCAAGGGACACCACGGGCCCCGGCCCTGAATACGTACCACTCCCGGGAAGGGGCCAGACAAGCTGTCAGGTCCTTGGCGCTCTGGGTGCTGCCCAGAGCCATGCACAAGTAGCTTTTCCATAAATGACTGCTGAAAAGTGTTTCACTGAATATGTTCCTATTAAAACCTAGCTTTTGTTTAAAGCTTGGGTCTTTTTTAACAGCAAATTGGTATTCTTGCAGATTAATTTTCTCAGCATGGGTTTAGTTAAGCAAGTTACCTGTGGCTATTTCAACACACTCTCTTTCCCTTTAATTACAGATGGGGTCGCAAGACCACTATGCAAATGTTCTTTAAAAACCAGCTGGAAATTTTGTCCATGTAGCACTGTCTGCAACTGTGGTGACAAAGGAAAAGCCCAGGCCTAACTGCCAGGCAGCAGCTGCCAGCCTCACCTCTTCCCAGAGGCCTCACCAGGACAGCGAGCAGGAAACAAGATCTAAGTGCAGCCTGGGCACGGAGCATGCACAGGACTCCAGGCCTCCCAGGGAGTGGGCAGTGTGCAGAGCTCACACAGCATTTCCATGCTTCAAGCTCAAACAAGGGTTCACAGAGCTCGCTAAGCCCTTCGTGAGCCTGCATCCATCCACAGTGTGACTTCCCAGCCCTTCGAGTCAGTATATATAAAGCTGTGAATTATGAGATTTCTTCCTTGCATTTTCATCTTAGAATAGCAACCGGGACCTTGGAGAAACTCAGGTTTGTAAATACTCTACAGCAATACGGAAAAAGATAAATGGCAGCTGCCAGACTCATGAATCTCTGTAACTTCTGAGCTTCAGTGCTATTTGGAACACTGTGGCTAAAACTGATACTTCAATTAATTCCAAAATACAAGCTTGTTTTGCACTAAAGAGCAATTCTTTTTCCCCACTGTGTTTTCATAACTTGCTTTAGATGTCTCCTTACACCTACTTGATATTTTAGGTGTTAGTGCTTTATCACTAAAAGCATTTGCTCTGATCAATAAGGCAGCTTGTCATAAAACCATTTTCCCAGATGAAAAGTTTCAGAAATCATAAATATTACTCACAATTTTGTCAAAAGATTGACCTAAAAAGATAAATATTAGAAATAAACAAATACATGGGAATAACATGAAATTACATTTCTGTTCCAGAGTGATCGGCACCACTTTCCTGCCTGGAAGGCTGCCAAGAGAAGTGGGTGCAGTCATTGCTCTTCTAGTTGCCGGATGATGAGGAAAACAGGACCCACCCCTACTCACACAAACACCAGCAGCACAGATAAGAAAGCGAACACACACTCCTGGATAAACACCAACACCAAAGGATGGGGAAGTTGTGCCACGACCTCTCAGGCTGGACCGGGATGAGGCCACAGATTCCTGCACCGCTTGTTAACATCTCCTGGTTCCAAAATGATACAGCAGGTCCTGTCAGGGAGCAGCTCTGGATCGGAGTCCTCACTGCCCACGCAGGGCCAGAGGAGTCTCCAGTGTCAGCACCCGTCAGTCGATCGGGACCACGGGGAACAGGGAAGTAGGTGCCCATGGGGAAGGTTTCTCTCTCTCTCCTGCTTCCCACATTCTCCTATCTGGCACCTGCTGATCTGTCCACACCTCACACACCAGGACATGCTGAGGGGGCTGGACAGGCTCTGTGTGCCCCTCGGTCCCCACTCCCTCCATTCTCAGAAAGCACACAGATGCATGGGCATCGTGGACACACACTTGGAGAGAACTGACCCACTGCAGGGCAAAGCCAGGCTAGAGGAGTGTGAATGGGGTAGAGGAGAGCAGGGCCACCAGGGGACAGGCCCGCATAGACAAGCAAACAGAACAGGCACAAAGCCCAAAGCCAGATGCAGGGTAAGAGAGACCCCACATCTGCTCTGCTCTGAGGAAATCACTCCACAGAACGAGGGCTGGATTGCACCACAGTGGCACCAGGTGCCAAGAAGCATCCCAGCCTCTCCTCTTGGCCTGTCCCTGCTCCACTTCCCAGGTCCCAGGAGCTGTGTGGCTTTCTTCTGCAGGCTCTCCTGATGCTGTCCTGCCTCGAAGCCAGCCAGCCATGGATGGAAACCTCTACACATGAGCCAAATAAACCACTTCTCCTCTAGGTTGTGTACATCAGGTATGTTGTCCCAACAGGGGAAGCAGGCTATTACACTGCATACCAACCCATAATTAGGGTTTTCTGCATTTCATTGCAAACTATGCTGATGATCTATCCAGGCAGGAGGAAAAAATGAATGAGGAAGTCAATGGCTGGGGACTCCGTGGCCCATGGCTCCTGGAGATTCTGATTCTTGGGATGTCTGAAAGCAGGTTCTTCAGTAGACACTTAATTTAATTAAACCTTCTGCAAAGACCCACATTTTATGGGTTGTGTCTCAGTTATTTTCTTGTTGTAGGAAACAATACCTGACACCCAGAAGTTGAGGAGGAAAGGTTTATTTTAGCTCACAACTTATAGAGGTTTCAGTCCATAGTCTGTTGGTTTGAAGTCAGGGCAGCATGGGAGAGGGTCATCACAGAGGAGACAGTCCATGGCAGGGTAGGCAGGCAGGGCAGCCATCAAAGGAACAGGGATCTTTCCCAGCCACACCACAGTGACCACCTCTTCCCACCAGACTCCACCTTCCAACATCATACCCAGCTATAAAGCTATGAGTGGACTCACCCAGTACCACACACCCATGACCCAGTACCACACACCCATGATCTAGCCACCTCCCAGAAACCCCACCTAGGAACCCATGAGGCTTTAGGGGACATCTAGATAGAAGCCATAATAGGTTGATAGCAAAATTTACCTTTCTGTCAATGGGGAATTCACTGGGTCATTCAATCAGAGATGTGAGCGCCCCTATCAGGACACTCCCCCAGCACAAGGTCTCCCCCAACCAGCACTGCAAAATGGAACATTAAAAGCTAGGAATTTTCCTTTTAGATATAAGCAACTTCTCCAAACTTCCTCCTGCTGAGCACACAGCCCACAACCCCTTCTCTCCTCAGCCCCAAAGGAGTGACAGGATATGCAGATACCAGCCCCAGGAGACCAGGAGCCTGGTTTCTTTGCCACAAAAAAGAGGAGGATGAACTGAAGATGCTGAAGTGATAAAGCAAGTGTAAAGATCTGCATTGTCTCTCTGTGCTCCCCTCCCTTCTGTTCCTTAATGTAAAAGACCCTTGCCCACCTTACACAAGGACATGCTGATTTGAGGCAAATGGGCCCCTCCATCTCCTCAGAGCGAGCTCTGAATTAGTCCTTTCTCCTTTTTATCCAAATACATGGCCTTCTGCGTGGTCAGCAGAGAGCAAACTTGAGTGTGTGAGCCTCCATGGCTGGGAACACTAGCACAGAGCACTGAGTCCAGACGACAGTCTCGAGGGCTGCTGCTCAGAGCACAGCTAGCACAGGCAGGGTCCTGTCCACAGTCAGTCCTTCCCTCCTGTTCCCTTGGGGATGCCTGGACTCCCCTGAGCACTCTGCACTCTGCACAACAAGGACAGCCTCCCTCATCACAGAGGGCAGAAGCACTCCTGGCTGTGGGGACTCCATCCTGAGGGAGACGCCCTTGGCTCCACAGGGTACTCTGTGGGCCTGGAGCCAGAAGGAGCAGGGTGAAGAGGGCTTCAGGTCTGAGGACAACAGAAGGCCGTGCGGCGGACTTTCTTCAGCAGTGACATATATGGCTGCTCTCTGCCGGGTCCACCCAGGTCATGCCAACAGTGGCTTTGCTGACCCCTCTCCCACAACAGCAGAGATGAGGGAGGGGCAGCTTGGGTGTGGAGAGCTTGCTGGGCTCCTGGGGGTCAGCAGGGGAAAAGAAAATCCCAGTTTCTCCATCTTTGGATCTTCCACATCTCCTAACTTTGACCCACTGCCTACTGCTTTTCTTCTTGTTATCACTCTGGAAATCAAGGCTAAATACTTCTTGTGACAGCACCATCAAGCTGGATGGATAGCAAGTGCCCCTCAGCTTCCTTACAAAGTGACCCAAACCGCCTCTGCATCTAATGGCAATGACTGTGGCTCAAAAGCATCCAGGCTGAGCCAGCCCTGGTGTCACCTCCACCCTATCAGCCACCTTGGGCTTCCAGTGGAAATGCATACAAGGCTGCAAGGTGAAAGCGATGTTACTTAAGGAGCACCGGTGTTACACACTCGACACACTCTGCACCATGTGCACAGAGAGCAGCAGTGTTAATCTTCCCAGGCAAGCGAGAGGACAAAAACTATTAATGAAATTAGGATGAAGTTTGCTTTGCAATTGTAGGGAATGTGAATCACTGTTAATTAGAAACATACTCCCATAAATAAAATATTGGATTATAAAACTGCTATAACATTTAATTGCTATTCATCAAGAGATGTTCCTATCTAATAATGTCCGCTGATTTTAACTTCTTAATATCAAAAAACTGCAAAAATAAGGTGACTTTCTGTGAGTACAACCCAGCTACTCCTATTAAACAGTCGCATCAAAAAGTAAATCTGAGTTTTCCACATTACCCAAACAAAAGTACAACGAAGGCAATAAAACCTTACTTTAACTTTGTGTTCCTCTTCGTTGATTAAGCCATTTACTGACATGTTCATGGACTTTGATATTATTGCATCGAACAGAACATTAGAATCTATTTCCGACCCTGATGGATAAGATCCCAAATAGAAATTTCAGGTACTAAACATGCACGATAATTGTGTGAAGCCAGCTATGTTGCTGTCCTCTGATTTGGTTTAGACATTCTATTACCTAAGTCATTAAAGCAAAATTCATTCTGATGCAAAATGAACTACACAGTCTGTATGGAAAGAGAGTGGCTTTTTAGTCTGCTGGTGGATATAACTTCAGTCACACTGGGGATGTGCTTCACTCATGAACAAAACTGGTATGAGCTGTGCTTATCCTAGCTCCTCCAAGCCCAGCATCTCTGGACAGTGGACACGGGGTCTCCTTCCTACAAGCTGTTTGGATCCAGGTTCATAAAGTGTCTCACACTCCAGGGCTGCCACACAGGTGTAGATGCAGATGAGTTCTCCAGGCCCATCTTGTGGAGAACCCTGAGCCTTGGAAATCTCTCCAAGGCAACAATCAAAGTCCCCAAGATGGGCTGGATCAAAATTACCCCAGTGACTTCCTAGGACTCCTTACCAGAACACATGGGACACTCTGGGCAGCACAACTTCCAACACAAAATCACCAAGTCATCCTGAAGACACAGCGGAGCTTCCAGGAGACACCAGCTCAGGCCAGCTGCTGCCAGACAGCAGTGTTAGCAGGACTCACACACAGTTCTGGTGACTCCACCCTTACACTGCCAAAGCAGATTCCCAGGCAGGGTAGCTGCTCAGCATAGGCTGCCCAGGCTGGGTCACCCTTAAAAGGCCTCCCTTAGCCAAAGCGAATCAGCCTGCTACATTTAGTAGTTGTACATTTAGACAATCACTCTGCTGTCTGTGGCTGTGTTAAAATAGAAATGTTCCTGAGAGGCCGTGTGTGTGTGTGTGTGTGTGTGTGTGTGTGTGTGTGTGTCCATTCTCTGGGGCAAGCCTCGGGGCCTTCCATGAGGAACAGCTACACAAAGGGAGAGGACCAGAGCAGTGTAGCCATGGGGAGGCAATCTAGGCAGGAGGACCAGGTGGCCGAGATACCAGGAACCACAGGTCAGGGGCACAGCACAGAGCACACCTTGGGGTGGAGGGGGCTGACTTCCATGAGACCTGGAGGCTGGTTCCCAGTCTGCAGGGCTTGGCAGCCGGCTGCCGGCTCCAGGAGACAAACATGCCAGAGGAGAAGCTAGGAACACACTCCACCGTAAGGAAGCAGACTTCAAACGCAAGCCCTGTGCAGCACCCAGCGACAGGCTGCAGGGCAGCTGAGCCGCACACTGTACACCCATGAGGGGTTGAACAGCACACGGTCATTCAGCGGGGAGCTGGACAAGGGCCACTACAGCTCTGAGCAAATGATAAGCGCATCCCTGGGTAAGCACCAAACTGCACCCAAAAGCTGTTGCTCACAAATTATAATTCAGTTGTTGTAATAGGTGTGAGAAACTAATGGATAAAACTTTAGTTTTAAAAACAGCTGGAGCAGCTGGATGTAGTGAGATTTCTGCCAACACTGCTATGCTATGGACTAGGGTCCCTGGGCGAGACCTGACTTCGGAATCCTAAAACACAAGACACGTCTTCTGCTTCCTATGGTTAACTGCATGTGGATCTACTTCATGATTAAACTAGTCCTGGACATGAGCAGCAGCTGACACATTAGCAGCTGCCTCCCACCACGATGTGGGGAGGAGGGTCACACAGCGTCCACACTGCAGTGCTGTAAGGCAGGCCTGAGGCCGGACCTACTGCATGGCGGCCACTGTGAGAATTCAGTGACCCTCAGGCGCACCTCACAGTCTGCTCAGCCACAGGAGGAGCCCAGAGGAGGAAGGAAATGTGGCTATGACCTGCTCAGGTGAGCAAGGGTGGTTGTGGGGTGTTGGAGGGCCTGGCCTCAGGAATGAGAAGCCCCTCAGATGTGCCCAGGCCTCAGAGCAGCCAGGTCTGCTGAGGGAGAGGTGAGTGCTAAGGGAAAGTCCTGGCACCCTGTGCCGCTGCGGACAGGGACTGTGTGGGAAGCGGTGGGTGGCAGCCATGTGCCAGGGTGAAGAGCGTGGCTGCAAGGGGAGGCCTGTGAGCTGGGAGACAGGGCCAGAAGCGTGGAGCCCAGGCCCAGTGGCCGCTGTCAGCTCAGCAGGAGGAGGGAGGCCAGATGCTGCTGGGGCGGGATCAAGGCCAACAGGGTGCGGAAGGACTTCCTCACAGCCTGCTGCTGCCAGACAAGGGTTATGAGGAAAAGCAGAAACCCATTTCCAGTCCTGCCATAAATGAACAGCTACCCAGACTACAGCAGGCAGTGATGAAGAATGTAAGGAAAATGAAAAAAAGGAATTTAAGGCCGGGTATTCCCTGAGGCCTTGAAGAAAAGAATGGAGAGTTGCACTTAGCCAAGAGACAAAGCTCTCGGTTTCCAGATGATCATCCTTGCAGGTTTCAGTGATCCTGAAGCCTAAATCTATGTGCTCTTGAAGTGTACTTATTTATACAATTCTCTTCCTCATCTGAGGATGGTTTGGGACCAGTTTCTTGGTCTGAATACTAAAGAGTGCCAGCAGATAGGAGCAGTGTGGGAAGGAAACTCACTCCCTAATCACAGGCTTTCATGTGGAGACTCAAGGTCCCCGGGACAGCATGGCCCATGCTGTCACCCAAAAAGAGCCAGGCACAGCCTGTGGATGAGCATTCCAGTGAGGATACTGAAGCCACAGGAAAGCATCAGTTCCTCTAAACACATATACAGACACAGCATCCTGCTGAGTTGGATATCAATCAGTGAAAAATAAAAAACCAAGATCCTACTTACTGCTTCTTTACCCTACACTGGGAGAAAGTCAGTCAGGAAAGGCTCTAGGGTGCAGCAGTGAGGTCCACATAGACAGCGAGACACCAGGTGGGTCACTCCATGGATGGACCTCAAGGACAGCATGCCACCTCCTCGAAGGACCCAAGGTTAGACCCCAGGGACAGAGGCAGGGAGACAGGAAGGCTGCACACACCCATTCATAAGTGGGTGGCCAGGTTTTGTCCGCTGGCTGTGCTTCCGGGACAACCGCAAAAGCTGAGTTCGAGAGACACTGGGAGATGGACCGAGAAGGGCTGGAGTGACTGGTGGGCAGCACAGGGCTCGCCTCTTCCACTGTGGTCATGAGGCACTTACTGTGCCTAGCCAGGGCTCCTAACCCCTGTGGACAATCCCCCACCCCAGGGAGCCAACCGTCTCTACTCCTGACCGCCTGTGAACCATCCCACACTCCCCAGTGCTGGCAGCCCTCTCTCTGCCCAGGGCTGCCGACGTCTGTGATCCCTGCAGGACGCTGAGCACCTGCAGCGAGGCAAAAGCCTCGAGTCAAGATCACCAACCTCTACCCATGCTACTGAGCAGGAGGAATGCAGAGGAGTCTGCAACAAGAGATGCCCAAAAGTGCCGTAAAAAAGACATGGTTTGGGGTCACAGAGAAAAATCAGAATTCAGCCTGATTTCACCACACACTGGCTCCACCATGGCACCATTTCCTGCGAATCTTCCAGCAGCTACACGAGGCTGCACTGCCAAGTGTCTCGCACGCTCCGCGGGGCTGGTGCCTTGGCCTCCCTCCCTCTCCCAGCTCCACGGAGCTGTCCTGCTGCCTCTCGGCATGAGGAGCAGGTTCAGTTGGACTTTTCTCCTTTAAGTAACAAATTATAATTTATGCGGCATTTGAGACAAGACAGCAAATGGGAACCACACAAACTAAGTTACTAAAATACGCCAAGTGAAGTTTAATTCACATTGTCATTAGAACGGAACCTGCCACCGAAGCTGGGCCACTTGGGAAGCTAAGCCTGAGCTGGTCCTGCTGGGCTCAGCATGGAGCCTTCTGGGGCTCAGCTCAGAGACCCTGGCCAGCCAAACCCCCCAGCTGCATCTTTTCTCCCATGGTTCTCTCCCCACTGCAGTGGCGCCTGGAGAGGAAGCACGTGAAGATGCCCCTCCAGGTGCTCAGTCACGCTGGGGCTGGGGCTGGGGTTAGGGGACTGAGGGGACTTTGGCCTCGGTCCCTGGTCTCTGTCCACAAAGTGTAGCCCTGTTCACAGACCTAGGGACGCTCAGAAATCAGGAGGCCACAGAGGAGAGTTATCTGAAGGTATTTTCTATTAACAGATTGCCATTTGCTAGGGAAACTAACAAAAGCAAAATATTCCACCCTTACAGGATGCTTGTTCTCAGTATTGATTGAAATTTTTAGAATTTTATCTACAGAACATTACTTTAAAAATCCTACACAAATTTGATTGGTCTGCTGTCCTTCAACATAATAATTTCACTCTCTTTGTAAAGTTTTCTCTCCATCAATCACACTGAAGTTGCTAGACAACCAGTGAAGGACAGACAAATTAGCATTTTGAGACCACCGGCGTGCTAATCGCAGGTGTCATTTGACTTAACCCTGACACACAGTGAAGTCTTGGCCAAGGCTCACAGATCCACTGTGCCAAGAGGGAACCTTCCATGCATGTGTCCAGACAGAGGACGAAGGTGACAGGCCCCCAGGTCTGAGGCTGCAGTTTCTCCTCCCAGGAGCAGAACGTGGCCTCCACAGTGCTGGCTCTGCCAAGGAGACAGGAGATGTGGGAGCACTACGCAAACTGCAGTCTTCACGAATGTTTGCTTTTCCTGTCCTTTTAAGATTGATTTGGAAGTATGTCTGAGACAGTAGGCACCTGCCCTGCTCAAGCCTAAACATTTAGATAAACACCTGGGACGCAGCAGCTGTTCTGAGGTACAGTCCCTGAGCTCAGCTCTTTGCCAGGAGGCAACTGATAGTGACACAAGGAGACCCAGAACTCAAGCTTCCTGTTCCTCATGGGAGGCAGCATTTGTTTCTGCTGCTGCCATTTACTGCAACCGTCCATCACTAAAAAGAAAGACACCCAGTCACCAAACCCTAAACAATAGAGAATGTAAAATAGGAGGCAGGGTGCTTCCTACACCTGAGCACATATCACTGGCTCATGTCAGGTCAGAGCACTCACCAGATGCTGCCTGCTTTGTGCTCTGTCCCTGGCCAGTGACAGATGTGCTAAGAGCCATCTGCCCTGGCATTCTGCTCAGCGAACTTCGTGGGCAAGACACTGGCCCAAGGTCTGCTGCCGCAAGCCAGGGCCCTAAGGATCAGCCCACACCAAACCTCAGGAAGGAGCTGCCTGGCAACAAGGGCCGGAGTGGGCAGGTGCTGATGGGAAGCAATTGCTAGACACTGGTGCTTCTTTGCTGAGGGAAGAGGCAGCTGGGTGTACCCTGGGGGTTCATGGGGATAGAGCGCACCAGGCGAGACCGCAGCTGTCCTACTGGGTCATCCGACTCGATTCTGAGCAAACTGGTTGGCGAGCTGTCACTTGCCCAAGGGCAGGCAGTGCAGAACTGGGCCAGACTCCAGGACTTTCACATCTCCATCCAGGGACTTCTCCACTGCTCTTTTTAAAACACACAGCTCCGGGGACCCACAAGGCAGAAACAGATGGACACACACGAAGCTCTGGCTGTGTGATGCTACTGACACACCCACTGAAAGGACCATCTTCATAACTTCCGGAGGGACTGGGGCTCAGAAGACACTGCCAGCAAGGATCCCTGATGTGTGACAGAAACCCTGCTGACCTGTAGTTGCCTGGCAAACAAGCAAGGGAACCGAGTCTCCAGGACTTCAGGCAAAGCATCCAGGGTGCGTATGACACAGGTGGAACTGAACCCGAGTCCCTCCGCCACACACTAGCTCAGTCTAGCGTTAGAGTGAACAGTGTCTAATGTGCTGCACACACTCAGACCAATGAGCCAAACAAGCAGGCTGCCACACATGGAGCCTGGGTCACACGGAAAATGAGCAACAGCTCTTGCTTTCCAAAGAGTTTACTGTCTAAAAGGGAGGTCAGATGTAGAAAAAGGAAATTAAAGCTCTGTGTTTCTTCAGGTGCTCCTCTCTGCAAAGACCCAGGAAAGAATCAGAGCTGCGAAGAAAATAATCCCCTCCTCTCTGGGCCTACCGGACAGCAGGGCTGATCAGGGTGAACGAGACACTGACTGGACTGTGGCCGTGGACCCAGCCGCCAGCCACAGACCAAGGGGAAGAGGACAGCAGACGGGCCTGAGCCTGGGCCCAAGAAGTGGCCGGTGGGTCCTCCACACCCTCAGAGCTCATCTTGAGACGCACAAACCACTGAGGCTCTGAATTCCACTGGAAGACTTTTATTTTATGGCAAATGCGCTTCTCTTTCTTTCTTAGACCTCCTGGCACAATGTCAGTAGCACAGCTGGGTTTTGTTATAAGGCAATATTTTTTCCTCAAAAGCAATAATTTCTGTCACTTTATAAAAGTCTCACAAGGTCTTTTCTGAAAATGTCTGTGTGGTACAAGGCACAGGGTGGTCATTCGAATCCCCGGCTGGCAGCTAACAGCTCATTGTAACAGAGGGTACAAGGCTAGAAGGGAGAAAGAGTCGAGGGTGATACACACTCCAGCTCAGCTGCAGTGCAAGAGGAAGGCACAGCACACACTGAGCGCCTCTCACATGCCAGTGTGGTCCTGAGGGTGTGCACACTGGGCCCACAAGCCAGGCTTTGCCAAGCCCTCCGCGGGTGAGGAAACTGAGGGTGGCAGAGCTGAATGACTGCCACACTCAAGCCCCCAGGGTGTTGGAGCCAGGGTCCAGGTGGGCAATGGAGTCTTTTCCCACCTGCTCCACACTCCACTGCAGGTACATCAGACGAGGCCAGCTACCTGATCGGAAGTGACTTGGGCATGAGCAACACCATGTCTAGTCCATCAGAAAATAGCAAGACAGACAGGCAACGTGGGCATCGAGACTGCACACACTTATACTCAATATCAAAATTCAGATTCCTCACAAAAAGGCAACCCATAGAATAGGAGGAAATTTTTTCAAACCACAGACCTGACCAGAGATTAATATCCATAAATACAAGGAACCACTTCAAGTCAGCAAGAGCAAGCAGTTCAAAAATGGGCCAAAGGCTGGAAGAGACACTGCTCCAAAGATACACACTGGCCAATGTCCCCATCAAGAAGAGCCAACATCATCAGCACTAGGGAAAGCCAAGTCCACACCACACTGGCACCCACACTCACCCAGGGGCTGCCCACAATTGAAAACCAGAGCCAGACAAGTCCTGATGAAATGTGGAAAAGGGAGAGCCTTGTTCACTGTCATGGTGCAAAATGAAAGGGCCCCTGGGGAAGTGGCCTGGCTGCTCCTCAGAAGTTAGAGTTAACACAGGTCCGGTCCAGTAGACAGCAAAGGGATCAAAAGCAGACTCAACAGATCTGTGCTCACCAGTGCTCACTGCCACAGTATGCATGACAGCCACAAGGGGAAGGCAACCAAAGTGTCCACCGACAGATGAATGGAGATAGAAAACACACCAGCTACACAGGAGATGTGCTGAGCCCCGGAAGGAGGAAGCTCTGCTGTGGCCACAGCATGGTGGACCTAAAGCCATGACCCTGAGTGAAGCCAGCCTCAGACAAGTCCCGCGTGGCTCCACTCATGCAGTGTGGAGACCGGTCCCTGCACAGAGACTCACAGTGGACAACAGGGTGCCAGGTGCTGGGTAGGAGGGACTGGGAGTCACCCCTCCATAGTACAGGGTTCCTCCCAGGGGTCACAAGAAAGTTCTGCAAGTGGATGCTGATGACGGCCAGCACACCTGCCTGTGATCTTCTCAGACAGCTTCTCCCACCAGGGCATCTCTGCCCCACACTCTACTGCATGGACCTTTATGCACACCTCAGCCTATGTCATGTCCACCACTGGCACCCACAGCCATGCTGTGCACCTCACCTTGTGGACAGAGCCCTGGCACGGCAGGCTCAGGGCACATGTTCAGCAACACTACAGATCAGTCAATAGGGACAGAGTAAGAACACACACTTGACACCACAGTTCCAAGACTGCCCCTCAAGGCACTTGGAATACAGGATGCAGGCTAACCTAAAATTTGAAGAGAAACAGCAGTACTCAATATCTGCTGGACTATGAAGTCTGCTACCTCAAGAGCACCTACAGTGTCGAGGTCGAGGTCACCTGCTCCTCACACCCTTTTAAGGGCATCATCTCCATGAAACTCAGGCTTGGATATGGATTTAAAGCATGTTCCAAGCAAAAATCAGTGTGGAAAAAGAATGCAGATGGGCTGTTGCATCTAATTCCAAAGTCTGAATATCACATAATGCCTGAAAGGGCAAGCATTCCAGAATTAAGTAAATGTGGTGTTTAATAATTAAATGCAAATATTTCTCTTTTGGTTTATAGCTATTTTTAAAACAGCTGCTACCATGTCTGGTCTGAAACACACAGCAGGTTATTGGACTTGCCCACCTAATGAGAGGGGCTCTTGGGTGTTATTTTGAGTATGGACACAGTGAAAATGATCACTGATACACAAGGGTGCAGAGGATAAGTACTGCCTGGAGCTTCCTGATGAAGCAATGGAGAAATCCTACAAAGGTGAACTCAACAGAGCAGGTGAACAACACTGTACTGATTAGCAGAAACACACAGGCTCTAACCAGCTCTCTGTCAGTACCTGAGCAAGGCCCATCTGTTCTGAACATTGTCTTCTGATAGACACTGGAGCAATTCAGCTCCGGTACACTCTGTGGACAGCCTTTGATGGGACCTGTGTGTAGAACTCATGCAGTTACATAGACATGTGGTGACTGCTGATGGGTAGGCCAAAGGTCAGTGATCATAGGTGAAGCCCAAATGTTACAACAGACGGTATGTCAGAGACAACAAAACTAGAAGGGAGAGGTTTGCAATTACAGAACAGTTAGAGGCTGTTATAGTTTAGATCTAAGCTGTCCTCCAAAGTCTCATGTTCAGAGGTGGAGCCTGGCCAGAAAAAGCAGGTCCCTGGAGGTGTGACCTTAAGGGTGCACTCTTGTACCCAGCTCTTCCCTTCTCTCTACTTCCTGGCCACAATGGTGTGAGCCGCTTTGTCTACCAGGCCCTTTCACTGCTATTTCTGCACTGGAGCAAGTTGACCATGAACTGAACATTCTGAAACTGTTGGCAAAAATAAACTCTTCCTTTAAGTTTCAGGTGTCTGATATTATGTCCCAGTGATAGGAAGTGACTAATACAGAAAATTGGCACCAAAGATGGAGTCACCACTGTGACTTTATCTAACCATGTGGTTCAGAAGTGCTTGAAACTGACTTGAAGAAGGAATTTCTAAAGGTTTGGAAATGCTAGCTAGAGAGACCCTGGAATGTTGTGAACAGTATTAGATATGCAATTCTGGCCAGAAAACCAGAGTGCTCAGAGGAATACAGACGTTAAAGGGCAGGCTCTGGAGGTTTGGATGCAATGCCATTTGTGTTATTCTCAGCAGAAAATTTGTCTGTATTTTGGCTGAGACTTTGCAAGATACTGAGATTAAAGGTGGTGAACTAATTAATCTTGTGGGGGATATTTCAAGGTAGCCAAATGTTGAAGCTGTTGGCATGAGTACTGTTGGCTGCTTTCAGATCTACAATGAGAATCAGGAGCAAATAGCAGAGCTGAATAATTTGAAAAGTTTGCATTTTCATCAAAAGGGAATTGCCTACAAAGTTGTGGTAAAGGAGAGCACGGCTGTTGAAACAAGAGGCCAAATAACTGCACAATAACTGGTGGCTGACCTTGGTGTCTTCCATGTGGTGATGGTATTTCAGGTATTCAGAATTCAAGAGTTATGGAGTCATGAAGGTTCCACCCAGATTACAGAAGGAGGCCTGGGAGAAGCAGGCCAAAATGTGTGACAGGACCACAGCCCCTGCAAAGAGTCTCTGAAAGGGTAGCATGTGAAGCTGCGAGATTAAAGCTAAAGATGCAGTGGAGAGCTCAGTAAGTTGGAGATGCCAGATGCCAGAAAAGCAGATTGTCTGCTAAGAAAAGCTGCAGGCAATGAGCACAGCCAGCCCAAGAGAGGTCATGCATGCACTGCAACCAGTGAGATGATAGGAGTGGGACTGCCCAAGCTCTTTGAGCTCACGTATCATCACCAACTTCACTTTTGCAACATATGTGTTCTACACAGGTGCTGTGTCGAACAGGATTTAATAGTTACCCTGCTAGTTTTTGGTCTTGCTTTGGGGTGACTTCTATTTCCCTATCCCTCCCTCTTGGCAAGGGAATGTTTAGCATGTGTCATTGTATGTTCAAAGTATTTAGCTTTCTTTTTTGTTTTTACAGGGACTCGTGGCTAAGAGTTTGCCTTGAGTCTCAGAGGATACCTCAGACACGACTTTTTAGCAATGCTGAAACTGTTAAGACTTGGGCAACTCTTGGAGATGAACTAAATGCATTTTGCATATAACATGGACCTGAGTCTTTTTAATACCATGGATGAAATATTATGGTTTAGTTCCAAAATGTCCTCTAAAAGTCTCACTTTCAGAGGAGTGGGCAAAAGCAGTGAGTCACTGGGGGCATGGCATGGAAGAGTATATGCTCATCCTTGGCCTCTCTCTTCTTTCTTTGATTCCTGGGTGCCATTCAACAAACAACTTTCCTCTGCCAGCCCCTTCTACCGTGTCATTTCTCTCTTGGAGTCCAGCTGACCATAGACTGAATCCACTGAAACTATGAGCCAAAATAAACCTCTCCTCCTTTAAACTGTTAAGTATCAGGTATACTGTCCCAGCAATGGGAATGTGATTAATACACAGGGTGAGCTCCAAAATGTCTCACTGTTCTTCATCTAACCATCATCACACTCATTTTCTAGGCATGCAGGCAGGTGGTGAGGCTAACACCCACATGCCTGAACTTTAGAAACCCCTTATATGCCCTGCAGACTTCATAAAAGTCAATTCCTGTAAGCATTAATTTATAGGCACAAGTGTTTTTTATCATGCAACAAATAGACTTATAAACATTATATAAGCTCTATTTATTTTATCTTTGATAACTTTCACTGAATTCTTAAATCTCTTGAAAGTGCTTCCTTTATATTTGAATAATGGGTAAAAGAAATTCTGCAAATTGGCTAATGAGAATGTCTAGCTCACAACATAATTGTCACAGGTAGAAATCCTGTATTTGGAACCATTTAGGGTTTCCTGTGCTTATTTTTCCAAATGTCCTTGACAGGTGCACTTGTCTGAGCACAAGACATCTTCAGTTCCTTGGACCTTCTCCCTGAAGAGTATCCAGTGGCATGACAAGAGGGAAAATGACACTCCTGACAGACTCAAGGCATAATTTACAATGTGGCAAATGTTGTTACCAAACATTGTTAATAAAATAATGTCAACATATCCACTTCCCTTCAGGATTTATTTCCTGGTGCTCTAAGACATTAAGTTTCTTATCTCTACCAAGGGAGGCAAAGTGAGGGTGAGGTCTCCATGATCAGGCTTTGCTTCCTTCTGTCCCTGGAACACCTGGTGGTAGATTACCTGAATCTGTGTTAAGACAATAGAATGACTATTTAAAAGAATTCTGGGATTATTAGCTGCCATCAGTTTTTCTGACATGACTTTCTCCGTAGGTACCTTTAATTATCCACCCAAACCTTATTTTCTTCTTTAACTTTCTCAATCTTACAAGCTCGATCTAACTGTCAAGCTCTTGGGTGGGTCCATCTTTCTATTTCTTCCCTAGAAAAGAATCCAATTGCCATGTGCAGCAAACAATAGGATTGTTCACTTAAGTTTACCAGCTCTGCAGGAACCTGGGGTCCTCTGGTTATCTCCCTAAGGAACGGTCTAGTGTAGCACTCACAGTATCACGTTGGTGTCTGGCTGTGACAGACACAGATGCTCAAGGGCTTCGGTACCAGGAAGACATAACAGACCTAGGTGAAGCCATCCTCATTTGCTGGTTCTCACGTCACTGCATATGGCATATCACAAGTCACTGGGATCATGACTTTAGGCCCATGTGTCAATTAACTGCAAGAAAATATCTTTAAAAATAATGAAAGTGATTCTCAGATATTTTATATCTTTTCTCCCAAGTCACTAAAGAACTGTTCCCAAATTCATACTTGGGTACACTTGGATGCGATACAGTTCTATAATAGACTGTGTGTTCTGAAAGCATCTATACTAACTCACTTGATCTTCTGCTGTCTGGACCTTGCTGCCACAAACACTCCAAAACACCTGTTTCCTCGAGTCATTAAAAAAATGTACAAATTCCCCAAAGTGACATGCCAGGCTGCCCCTGCTCTTCCTCTGTGCTGGATGTGGCCATTGGCCCCTCTTCAGTCGGTTCCGGATCAGACCTCTAGCCCAAGCCCACTCCCAGGTTTTCTGACCATAGGACCCTGAGGACCTCTTCTCTCTGGGAGGCCCAGCCCCAGCTGACTCTGCTGCTCCACACAGGGGCTGCTGTGTTCCCCGTTGAGACCAAACCCATCCAGGCAGCTCCAACCTCCCACAGACAGAGAGCGAGGCATGGCCCATCCTGTGTCTTTCCCTCAAGCTGTGGCTTATCCCCTCCTCTCCAGGCCTCTGTGGGGAGTGGGGATAACAGCAACCACAGGAACCTGCAGATCTCCCAGAGACTCAGGTTCTCAGACACTCGGTCTGCCCGCTGCTTGGGCGGGCCAGGGGCCAAAGCATCCCATCTCAAAATATCGTCAACCTTCCTTAAAGCACCTCTCAAAGCAGGGACCCCAGCCAGGCATGAAGCGGTGGGTCCACAGCAGCAGACAGCTCAGACCCAGCTTGCAGACCCCAAGTCTTTCCTGATCTGCTTCACTTCCAGCAGGACTGCATGTTATCTGACAATGAGAAATGTCACTGTCCTGAGGGGCAATAGAGGCTACCCACACAGCGGAATCAGAAGCATGCTCCTTCCAGTTCCACAAGACCATTGCAAGACCACAACTTCCTTCCTCCACTCACAAGTCAGATGTGGGGAGGACATCACTGAATCCACCTGGTTAACCCATTAGGTAGATGCCTCTTCTGGTTCCAATGTGGAGATCCTATCCTTTGGGGTGATGCTCACGGGGACCCCAATTTTTTAGATATCAGCACATTTAGTGCTGTAATCTCCATTTGCTTAATGTTTTTCATATTTTACCATTATAATCCCATTAGAAGAGATTCTAGTTGTCATTATAGTCATTGTGCCTGCTTTTGAAGGATTTTAATAATGTTGAATTCATTTGGATTCGAGAGCAGCCATCACTCTCCAATTTGAAATCCTCCCTAACAACCAGACCTAGGTTATGACGGTGCATTCTCAGCCCCCTCAATGCCCAAGGAAGGGGAAGACTGGCCTGTGCCCCAGCCCTGAGACAGGTCCCTCACTGATCTGCTCCATAAGGAAACTGACAGCCCAGCAATTGAGCAAACAGGAAGCTCATTACCTGGGGGTGTGGGGTCTTACACATTTTTGCTGTTAGCACTGGGATCAGTGTTTTTATCTTAAGATGCATAAATAAATCTGATTTGGCTGTGTATATCAAAAGTTTAGCTGTTTGCAAAGGCGGTCTTTTTAACTCTAGGAAAGAAAAAAACCCCTGACTTTTTAACATCTCTCAAAGTGTCCAGGCTGCATCCTGACCAAGGTAATATGAGAACCTGCTCCTCCCTCTGCCACAGACAACCCTCACCTCATCATTAAGACTCAACAGATGTTCTTAGTAAACATTCCACATAAAAGAGGAAATGTGCTGGTATACCGTGTTTCAGATTGACAGAATTAAAATTGTCAGAACTAAAAATGAAGTTGTCCTCAGAGGGCATGGATTCAAACTGGGTCCCCAGAGCTGACTGCAGTGTGGAGCAGCAGTTCCCTGGGGCCAGACCCTTGGCTGTCTCAGAACACATCCCATCCCAGGCACCGGACGCCTGGGGCCCGACCCAGCTGCCACTGCCCTCTGCAAACCAGCTGCCTGCCCCTGCACACTGAATCCCCTCCCTGCTACCCACTGAGAGGCACATGTCTACCTGGCCATACAAGAGGCGCAGATGTGACCTGTGTTCTCCAAATGCATCTCAGGGAAGAGGGGCCTTATTTCCCTACCTTGAGACTGGCCAAGGGCAGGGGGAAGCAAGCTGGGGG